ATTAAGCAAATGATTAGAAAAAGTATAAAGAAATGGCCCTATACTGATATATTAGATGTTCTCTGTTATAGAAATACAGCACTTTAATAGACACTATCAAATTTTTTAGAGTTCTCTGCTACTGGCAGGATTTAATTATTTTCATATAAACTTTCTCTTTCAACAGAACACTATTACAGGGGGGAATGCTTCTGGAAACTGTGTTAAAGCAGAAATCTGTCAGAGGAGGAAAACTCAAAATATTTTCCACTAACAGAGAGTGACACAAAAGTGGTATGAAAAAAGTGCACAAAAGTGCACCCTGTCAGAGGCAGAACACTTGTGAGACCCAGAAAAACAAGGCAGTCCTGTGAGTTGAGGCTTATAGGTTTCACTGTAAAATGTAAATTTCAGTTCTTAACTTGACAATAGATTTCACAGCCGAATACTTATTGATCATTTTACATCCTAAAAGGATGTCTTGCTCTCAAATGTTAGGAAAAGTATAAAACAGCAACATCCTTTTTCTGTAACTGTTAGTGTGGCTTGTAGAACTGTCAATCTAGTAATTTTACTCTGGATTTGACCTCACGAACTCAGCCAATTCTATCATCATGTTGTTATCATTGTTATGTGCTATTGAGTTGGACCCAACTCACAGTGACCCCTCCTTGGGTTTCCGAGGCAGTATCACTACAAAAGTAGATTGTCCAACCTTCCGAGGAGTGGCTGGTGGGTTTGAACTGCCAGCCTTCTGGTTAGCAGTCAAGTGCCTTAGGCACTACACTACCAGAGCTCACCTCTATTATCATAATTTTCTTATATAATAATAATGAAATGCAAATAATGATTTATAGTCTGATGCACCTATTGGTATTTTTGATTGATGTCTTCTTTAAATTTTCTCTAAGAGACAAAGTATTCTGTATTTCAGTAGACCATTAACATGTCTACTATTTTATATTCCAAAATATGGCCAGGCAATATGAACTAGATCATAACACTATCATTATATGGAGATTTTAGTTAAATCTTTCAAATCCTGCTTTTTTTTCCAATCAACATCTTTTCTGTTGCTTTAACTCATTACTGAGCTACATTTTGATTCTATTTCATCTTTTTGCATTTACCAAACTAGCTACAATTTTGTTCTCTGTCTTTTCAGCTGGTACATATTAATATGTTGTACATCTTTACAATGTAATTATTTTAATATCAATGTTGTCATAAATTTGACTACAAACCATTCGGAGATTAAATAAAAATTAAAAAATAATGTTCTGAAATGGTTTTAGAAGTGCTTTCTTTTTGTTGGTCAGCATTTTATTTAGTTTTTTATGCCACTAACAATTTTTATTTTCCATCCATGGATATATGGGCATCCTCAGCGCAACTGGATTGAACAAAGTTCTTATTTAAAATACAGAGATGTAGAGTTGACAACTCTTTTGGGAGATACAGAAAGCTTATACTTCTCCATGAAACACTTAAGGGTTAATAACAGCTTCAATCCTCTAATTTGAGACACAATTCCTTAGAGAAAACAACAAAAAGGCCAATCACACAAAATCTTCCTTACTCTAAAGCTGTGACCTGAACATTGACTCCAAACAGAAACAGTTTTTTTAATTAACTCAGTTGAAAACGTCAATAAAAGCAATTCAACAGTTCCCACTAGTTTGAGGCCACTAAAATTGATCACATGTATCTGTTATTCCAAAGAGTCTGTCATGAGCCTGGTTAAGTAAAACAATGAATTAAGATGTTCTGTCACTAAGCAAATAATCGTCTTTCATGTGACCAGAAAGATAACTCTGGAAAACTGAGAATGCAACATCACATTAACAGTTATGCTTCAGGCTCAGTGACTGTCAGAAAGTATTTCTTTACCTAGCAGAGGACTGTGAACTGAAACACGTATGGCACTTCATCTGAAAGAACTAAACCACCCATTGGCTGCACTTTGTAAAAGCAATAAATAGTGTCACAGAAAATAAAAGTACGTTTCCTCAAAAATGTACTTTTCTTTTCTAAAAGGGCAAAGTATAGTCAAACCAAACTAACATGTTTTAAACAGAAGATTGACATGGCTCCATACAGTTTCAAAAGGCACCACAAAATAAAGCTTATTCTGATAAGGAAATCAATTCACCTTCTCAAAATAATGTTTTTATGCTCATGCCTTAACTAAGTGCCCACTTGATCGCTCTTAGAAAAAGTGGTTAAGAGTCTTTTATTCAAAGCTTTTAAGCATGATTGTGTTTCATGTATTTCCTCTCTGAGGACTATGTTCTAGGGGACCAGCATCCACATACCCAAACCCAAATCCAGTGCCATCGAGTCGATTCTGACTCATAGCAACTCTATAGGACAGAGTGGAACTGCCCCACAGGGTTTCCAAGGCCTTACGGAAGCAGACTGTCTTCTCTTTCACCCATGAATGGAGTGGCTGGTGGTTCAGAAGCGCCAACTAGAACTTTTTTTAGCAGCCAAATGCTTCAGCCACTGCACCACCAGTGCAGTGCTGCACTGCTCTGCAAGTGCTCCTTAGCATCCACATAGGTTCTAAAAAATTGAGAAAGAGTGTACATGGTAACTGAGAGAACGGCCTGCATTCTTTGATACCTAAATGTTTTAAAATCAGCTACCACAATCACCACTTCTGAATCACTTAAGTATCAGACAGTAGCCTGATCCTTGAGGCCCAACTGAAGAACCTCCTATGGCTACAGTGCATGAATCCTTCCATAGGAGATTGCTGACATCAAGAGCAATGGCATTAAGCACATGTTTTTCAACAGTAATACCATCCATAAAACTGTAAGGAATTAAAAAGGCACCTTAAATTGGAGCTACAGAATAACACTCTTATAACCTAGATTGAAAATAAAACAAAAGCTAGAAAAGTCAACTTCTTACAACTGTAATCTACAAACTGCAGTGTTTGTTAATATAAAAGGGATACCAAGGAAGTAAGGACAAGCATCTAAGTCCAAGTCACTTGAGTGTGTTTCACCAAAGGTTATGCTAAAGACCGTAACCCATAAAAGTGCAAAATAAAAGATTAATGCATATCAAAATTAGAGTTCCTGCAACATTGGCCAAAAGCAGCAAACATAGTTGAATAAGGCCGTGCATGCACTGTCATTAACTATAAAGTAGTACTTATGACAGAATTTGAATAAATGACATATACTAGAGATCACTTATTTGCAATTTTTTTTTTAAAAAGGAAATATTTTACTAAAGATATAATGAGTGAAGTCACATTACATTGACAAACATTTAGATGTATTAAATGTTAATCTTAAGATGTCATCTAGAAAACCATCATTTTGCTTTTTATTGAACACTTATTAGAGCAGTGCATAGTGTTCCTTCAAATAAAATATTATTTAATAGTTTCCTTTAAGCTTCCACCATATGCTTTGCAAAACAACGAATTATACTTTTTTAAAGTTGGTGGGACAAAGAAACTACTGAAAGTATAGTTTCTAGAGGATCGAGAGTAGGAGTAAAGACTGACTTTTTACTATACACCTTTTTATACAATTATAATTTTTCATCATGTGATGTATTACTACCTTTTAAAAAAAACTGAACAAATAAAAAAATTGACGGGAAAACAAGGCAAAAGCATATTCCAGTTTAAGATTGATGCCAAACTTTAGAACTGGGACATAATACTTACTCTGCATCTTTCACAACACTTTTAAAAGTTAATCACATGAATATGAATACAAACAAATGTAGGTTTCATCACAAAATACAAATGTATTGGTCACAATTACGTAGGAAAAAAATATGTTGTAATATCTGTTTTCCATGTAAGCTCACAGTATCTGTACTGAAAGTTTCTCTAAAATTAAACAAGTCCACTGCCGAGGTCCAGCCTCAGCTGTGGGTCTCTGGAGGGAGAGGTGGCGTCGGCGAGATGATGGAGACACACTCACACAAGATGAAGATGTGCCCCACATAATGAGGTGGCCTTCTTTATTTTATACTGT